GCCAGAGATTCCTGTTCTGGATTCGGGGTGTTTAAAGTCTTTATTTATACTACTGTTATTGTTTATATTCTTGTTATTGTTTATATACACGCACATCAAAGAAAGGAGGAGTTTGACTGGTGAGGGCCTTTTACATCCTCTTCCGGTCTATGTTTTATAAGATCTGCTGCTGCAGTTTTAATAAAGAGAGTTTAATGCAAAATAAATCAAGGGCCCCCTTACAGGCCACACCCATGCTCCGCAGCAAGCCCTGCCCTTGTCCTGCCACAAGCCACACCCTACACAATCTTTAGACACAAGGAACAAAAGTGCAATAAGTTCAAAACAAGTGCAATATAATTAACAAATGCAAAAAACAAACTGTGCAAAATAAATGACAATAACCCCCTCGAGGCCCCAGTAGAGACTACAATTGAGGGCTACTGGTCCATGGAGGGGGGTCTTTCTAGCAGAGGCTATCTCAGTGTCCTTTAGAGAGTGTTAGAAAGAATCTCCTCCAGGCCCCATTAGAGACTACAAATGAGTCTAATGGGGCCTGGAGGGGGGTCTTTCCAACACTCTGGTTCCTATTCACAACATAGCAACACAACATAGCTTGCTGATACCTAGGCCAAGTTGGCTTCTCTTACCTTAATTACTGTTGCTGGCTGGCAGGCTGTGAGCTTGCTGGAAGGCTGTGGGCTTGCTAGCTGTGGCTGGCAGGCTACGGGCTTGCCGGCAGGCTGTGGGCTTGCTGGCTGTGTAGGATATGAATATCCATTTTGCTTAATATCCTAGCTGTTTGTATAAGGGTTAATTTGAACCAAGAATAAATTTGGAATTGTATCTTCGATTCTGGGAAGAATTTATCTAATATCATTTACGAGTATGACCATACTGATTTCCAAATGTTCTTGTTAATTGTCCAAGATTAAGGTATTTGTAAATATCTTGTTTTGATCAAATATACATGTATTATATAATGTAGAATTATAATAAGAAACAGCTGCTCATAACTTGTGAAAAACAATGTAATTGTCACGCCCATATGCTCATTTTTCCCCCTCCCATCCTGCTATGAAAATGGGGTATAAATATAACTGACGTATGAATAAAATTTGAATTGGTTATTGAACACGTCTCTGCTATTCATTTCCAATTTCCAGAGCTCTGTATGAGTTGGCAAATATCCATCATCCACAAAGGGCCCGGGCTGATTTTATCCCCAACAAACTGGTGTCAGAAGTTTGGGTGCAATTGGGAATGGAATTACAGGTAAGAGGATCTTTAGCCCCTTGGTGACACAACTTCTGGAATTAAAGGGGATCATGACGGAGTATTTGTGTCCTTAAGGGGTTGGGGACCTTTGCCTGCTTCTGCCATACTCCCACACATTGCATTTCTTGTTTTAATGGGGATTTTCACTATTTAAATTTTTAAAGGGGATTTTCACAGGATAATGTCTTTGGTAGACATGGTATTTTAAGTCTTTGGTAGACTTCTATTACTCCACGGGTTGGAGGAACGCCTTTAGCAGGCAGTATTGTGCACAATTTCCTCTTTGGTAGAGGTTAACCTTTGGCCAGGTGTTAAAAAGATTTTCAAGCCTTTGGCAGGCTGTCATGTCCTGTGATGTACATTTACATATGGGTTTTGTAGACAAAAATGGTTTAGAAAAAAAATAAAATAAAGGGGTTAAAAGGGAATATTGTTTAAACCTGGTATGATGGATGTTTGGCATTACTCCGGCTTGCTAATTTATGTGCTATTTTATGATGTGCAACGCTGATTTTAAGCATAAAATCTTAATTGAGGGAATGTCAAAAGTACATGTGAAGGTGATGATGAATAAGAAAAAAAAAATTAGAGGTTATTTAAGGGGGGCTACAGATTCTAGAACTAACATGATTTCTCTGCATGTATGTTTGCATAATGAGCCCCTTATTTTTATACTTGTGTTGTAGAATTATTAGGCCTCTATAAATCTGTAAGGCCCCTTTAAATCCTCTTGCTATACCTCTAAGAGGCCCCCATAGTTTTACAAGAAAGCTTTGTCTATAGAACATAGAATTTTCATGTCAGCAAGAAATAGCTTTGATAAAATGTGTATTTACTAAAAGCCTTGAAACCTAACCTTGAGAAACTAACCGTGCCAGCTACACTCTAAATGGATAGCTGCCAAAAGGCCCCTCCCATCGAGTGAGCTCCTCATGTTAGCAAAATGGCGCTAAAACCTGGAGGAGATAATCATGACGTGGATAGTGACTTAAGATGGTACACCCCATAGGGAGGGCATTTTACTAACATCTTAGCACCTAAGCCAATTAACAATGTCTATTTGTCTATATCTTGATTTTCTTCAATGATGTAATAATGCCTTTAAAAGGGTCTGCGCACCCATTTTCTGTCAGAAGCCATTAAACTTCTCCGAAGTTCTTTCATTAACCTGAACTTTGTGTCTCAGTGTGAATTTACTTCTGCGTGCACGCAACTTTATTATCTTTAATTTGGACAGGAACAGATAGTCATTCAAACTAATTGGTTTGCAGTAAATTATCTACAACAGCTGGCGCCATAACGTGGGGCTCTGGGCTATGTCCTGCCTGGGCAGCTGTCCAAGAAGATGCTGGGGGGGTGAATCCTGGGGGAAGGAAAAGAGCCTGATCACCTCTGAATACACGGTAGAGATTGCTGCAGCACCTGGCCGGTATGTTCCTGCCCCTGTGATTGACCTATCCCAGTGTCTGTGACTGCTGCCGAGAGGACATCAAAGTTAGGTAATAACTTGCCCAGAGTCTTTGTATTGTTAATGATACCTAGTTTACCTGCATGTTGACTATCTGTTGCCTGGGTGTGTTTGTATTGATTTGTGTTTAACTTAGTCTACCCGGGGAGTGTAAGTGCCTGTTTAACTCCTTTTAGGTACCACGTGGCTGTGGTAGTAAGGAAAAAGGGGGGTGGACCTGTGGAAGTTTTCCTGGGGGTCCTCTATTGCCTGTTTAACTCTTTTAGGAGCCACGTGGCTGTGGCTGTAAGGAAAAAGAGTAGGGGGAATCTGTGGAGGATGATGTAGACTCATTGCTTCCTGGGGGTTCCCCATAGTGCCGCTTTGACCGCTTAGCTAGCCTCATCGAACACTTCTTCTTGGTAAAATTCCAGCCTCGAGCGCTGAGGCAGGTAAGATTCCAATTCTTTAGGCTATACAGGATTCGGGTTGGAAGCTGTTGCTGTTTCCTGTGGCTGCTGGTAGTGAGACTTGCGGGTGGGTCCGCAACAGGGACACTACAAGGTTGAGGGAGGTGGCTTTTGGCCACACAAGTAAAGGCAAGGGATAAAACTGTTGAACTTATTTGAACTGTGATGCATGCACTGTATTTACACTGAAATGTTATTGTCTTAATTGTCTGTCACACAGATTCCTGTGTTTACTTTTATCTTACTCACTGTACTACTTACACTTTCCCCTCCTATTTCTCTTTCTCTGTTGAGAGAAGTGATTGGTCACACACTTCTCGCCACGCTCCAATCCGCGGCTACCACGGGTAGGCGGAATCAGTGACTAGTCTACGTTTTGGGAAGACGTACTTAAAGAGCTTGCTCTTAAAGTAGCAGTCGAGCACGGTAGACGTTCTGTTCCTTTCTCTCTCTATATCTGGGACGCCTTGTATAGGGAGGATGGGACAGAAGTTAGATAAACCCAGTAAGGGTTGGTTAGCATGTGATCTAGTGGAAGACAGAGAAGGAGAAGAGATGGTTAAGAAAGTGAGGAAGATTGCTAAAGTATGTGGAATTACCGTACCTCCGTGCGGCAGATTGTAGCCAGAGAGCTGGCGTAAGTTACTGACAGAGAAGAAAGGGAAGCTGTCGGACCAAGATTTGGTTTGTACAGCAGAAGCCTGGTACCGAGTAGCAAGAGCTATTCAGCAAAAGGGATAGGTTGAGGAAGAAATTGATCACAAAGGTTTAAGATTGTTTGTGTATTATAATAATTGTGTTACTGGATGCTGATGGATCCCTATTCTCCCCCCCCCCATCAGTCCTACAGATCTCGTCACCCTCATCCTCTCTCTGCAGCTCCCTGCACCTCCAGTCCGTTTCTCCCGTCAAAGATTTCTGGTTTCCAAACGTATAAGTCTCTGTCCTTCTGTCTTGTTACTTTCCAGCACTCACATGGTTAATCTTCATGCCTGCAGCTTCTCTCCCTTTTTTGCACTGTCTAACTTTCTCCCCCTCCTCCTCCCCGCTTGCCTGCATTTCTACTGATAAGAGTTAGAGACGGGATTTTTGCTGGAAAATATTCTAATTCAAAGGTTATGGTGTTATAATTGTGTAATAATATTATTATTGTTGCCGTTTGCCGTTTATATATATATACATAAATTGTGTTTTGTGATAAAGTAGTGAGGATTGTGGGGGAGACACAAGAATGTAGCTCAGTGTTGATTTACGGAGGTAAGTGAATCTGATACAAGAATAGTGGAATATTTGGACGTGTTAAGTGTAAAGGCAAGCGTGATTTGTTGCAAAACTATGCAATGAGGATGATAAGGGAAATTGGTTGAATTCCGTGAGTTTATTTTGCATCATTTTATTATTTTAAAGTTATTTTAAAGTACATGTTTCTATGGACAGCTGTATGGGCTGTTAAATGCATAATGTTCTCAACTGTCTTATTTAACCTGCCAGGTCTGTTCATGGTTTAGTATTTCATTTTGCAGAACGGAATGTTGCTTCTCTGACTTATTTTAATAGTTATAATATAGTGTATTGTTGAAAGTGCGTCAGCCACCACCCTAAAGATGGCGCCTACTACAGAAGGAGGTTGACCCTGCCAGTCCCGTGACCTATCTACAGTCACGGTTGCTTCTAAAGTGACGTCACTTCCGCCCTTACCATGCCCACACCTCCTGTCTTCCTTTCCCACACCTATCATGGACGTCACCTCACTTCCTCCCTTGCTGTCATTTCCTTCCCCGCCCCTGTCATGGCTGCCTCCATCATGAGGCCTACCCCTATCATGCTCGTCCTATTTAGAAACATGTTGTTTTCCTTACACTCTACATATTATGAACAGAAACATTATAATTACTAAAACAATCATGCCATTTGTTTCCCTGTATCAGAAATGTGTCAGTGATAATAAAAAAAAAAAAAGAAGGTTGCTAAAATGTCATTTGCAACTGTGGTGTGACCTACAAATGAGATCTGTTGGACACGAATATAAGAGCATAACAGCTGATTATCCAGATAAATCTTGCAACAAGGGAAATAGCCAAATAATGCAAGTTATTTTAAACATTGTATCTTTGCTTAATCGAATCTTGCTAGTTACAGATCGTAAGTTTACAGTAACATCCTTTACGTTAAATGATGGTTTAGCATTAGAAGGATTAGTGACATGTTTTATTAACCCAGCCACTTCTGGTTATTAATTTTAGTTACAGGGTGGTATAATTGTTATAGTCTAATTAATATAAATGATAGTACCGCAATAGTTAATGTTTTACCCAAAGACATATAGGAACTTTACTTCACTTACTATTAACCATTATTTATAATGATATAACCTACTGATGCTTAATGCCCCTGTTATGGCTGTGTCTTCAGGGGAACAAGGGGGGCCACTAGCCACTGTAACTTTACCTATTGAAGGTCACCCTACTACCGTGTTTCCCCGAAAATACACCCTACCCCGAAAATAAGACCTAGCTGAATTTTCGGGGTGGGCTGCAATATAAGCCCTACCCCGAAAATAAGACCTAGGCATTGTACCTTTCGGTCCGGCGGGACTTCCTTCTTCTATGAGGAGGAGGAGGAGCGTTGCAGGCCGCGGCATCGCGCAACGTGATGACGACGTGCGCAGCGTCGTCAGTCTGCCTTCACGGATCTTCAGCGGAAGGATCCATTTCCGAGCGGTGAGGCACCCAGTGGTCGGACTCGGCGGGCAAGGAAGGCATCTGTGAGTAGATATTTTATGTCTGGGACTGAATTAATTAAAGGGGGCGGTGAATTAATTAAAGGGGGGGCTGGATTAATTAGAGGGGGGTGGATTTATTAAAGGGGGGTTGGATTAATTAAACGGGGGGTGGATTTATTAGAGGGGGCTGGATTAATTAAAGGAGGGTGGATTAATTAAAGGGGGGTGGATTAATTAAAGGAGGGGTGGATTAATTAAAGGAGGGGTGGATTAATTAAAGGGGGGTGGATTAATTAAAGGAGGGGTGGATTAATTAAAGGAGGGTGGATTAATTAGAGGGGGCTGGATTTATTGGGGGGGGTGGATTTATTGGGGGGGTGGATTAATTAAAGGAGGGTGGATTAATTAAAGGGGGTGGATTAATTAGAGGGGTGGATTAATTAGAGGGGGTGGATTTATTAAAGGGGGGTGGATTAATTAAAGGGGGGTTCAATGTACATACCGGTACCATAAATAAATAAGCCCTACCCTGAAAATAAGCCCTAGTGTGTTTTTTGGGACTAAAATTAATATAAGACCCGGTCTTATTTTCGGAGAAACACGGTACTTTCCTGGTTAACACAGGTGCAGCCCGCAGTGTTCTTAGAGAACAAGACCTGTCTGACTCATCGTTCCTGCCTGACACCGATGTCTCTTGTGTTGGTGCTGATGTCCTATCCCGCCTCCAAGCACCCATCACCCTCACTGCAGACGGCCAGGTTCAATTAAAT